ATATCATTAATTAATGTTACTGATGTTGAAATGTTGAAACAAACATTGATTTCAGGAAATTTCATTTTTTAAGATTAATTAGCTATCCATTCCAAAGTTCGCTCTATTGATTTATTAGTTTAAGAATTTACATTTTAAGTTATTTAAAGAAATCAATTATGAATAGCTATGATATCTTCCAGATCTAGTCCAGGTGGAACGCCCGGACCATTTGGTCGAATTCAGCAAAAGCAAAATTTTAGTGATATTGCGAAAGAAATTAATAAACTAAAACGAACTAACCGAGCATCGTAATTATTAAATTCTTAAATAATGAAGAAAGAGATGGACAGAGAGAGGGAGAGAGAGAGAGAGAAGAAAAAAAAGAAAATACTTTCTCAAATCCATCGAATATATAATTGTTATAATTATTTTTTGGATAAAAAATCTGTTATATTCAGGGAATGTAAATGAATTTTCGAATATTTTTCAGGTTATTAAATAAGAAGGAAAATAGCAAACTAATAGAAACAATAGAATCACAATTTCCATTAAAGTTAATTCAGTATAACTTCAACGAGCAATCACAGAGTAAAGTACCTTCAACTGCGACATTTGAGCAGCAGCAAGACGAGAATGTTGTAAGACATGATAAAGGAACGGATGCAACGATTGTAAAATCTGATCAATTATCTCGAAATGATGAAAATTCCATCATAAAATTATCTGTAAAACAACGTGCGCAAATGTTCGAAACAGTATTAGCTCATGCTAATCAATCAACCATTCCTATGCATAATCAAAGATTTGTCAACAAATTAAATAATTATTCATCGAATTCTATCATTCAGAGGAAAAAACATTGTGCTGGAACACCAATGCCGAAAAATCAGCAAACTTTTGCAACGATATCTATTCCTAATAAATAAAAATGATAATATATGATAAATGATAAAAGATAATATATGATGAAATGATACTGTACAATAATTAATAAATGATACTATATGTTGCTGCAAATTGCTTACTAATTACTGTAAATGATTAGTACTGAACAAATATTATTCCAACAATTTAAAATTTTAGCATTAATTAGATCATCTTTCATTCATAGCTATTTCGCTAGTATATCACAAAAAAAAAAAAAAATAAAACTGATTGGAAACCAGTACGACTAAATATGCCTATAAACAGAAACCTTCCCTCTTTCTCATTTCATTGACCAATGGTCATTAACCATATTACCTGTGATTTCTTAGTCAAGTTTACAGTGATGTAGTTTCTCGATCGAATGATCGCAATTTCGTGAACAATTTTAGATCAGTTATGATTTTTTGATCGAGATCATCGATTTTGTGTTATGATGACCGTAATCTCATAGTGGACATGATTTGTTTGACCGAGTTTATGGTGATCATGATTTCTTGATCAAATTCAAATTGTTCACGATGATTTATTCAATTGTTCAAATGTAAACTAAATAAGAAGAAAATCTTGATTTAGCTGTTAATAATGTTAATAAAGTTATAGAATTTGTCCGGAAAAACAATCTTTACCGTAATTTATTAGATCTATTCATGTTTAACAATGCATCATAGAAGAAAACAAATTTTTTTTTTACTTTCCATACTGGAAGGAAAAAGTAATAGTAATGATGAGAATCAGATTCCTTTCTTATTTCTGGATTAAATATTGCCAGGATTCATTTTTTTTTCTTCCCTTCTCAAAATCCTTTCAATTTTCAGGCTAATTCACTTTAATATCATTTCATAGATTAATTTTCCTTTGTAAATTTAAAAAAAATAAATAAATTTTTATGATTTTACAAATTACAGTTTATTTTGTATATACTTTTGATGATAATTTGCCGTTTACGTAATATTGTATAATAAGCTGATTCGTGAATGATAATGTTACGCTTAATCATTAATCATTAAGCTTAATCATTAAGAGAATTCTTCATTCATTTTCTAAAATATTTAAAATGCTTTAACGATTTCGATATTAATATGTCATTTGTTATTAATCACTGAAGATTTGTAAGCCAAAATTAAAATAATTCGCTCTGTCTGAGACGGAAATTTGCACCATACTTGAAATATGGTTATGTACAGGTAAATTTTCATATTTCATTATTTTCCATAGCTTAAATACGAAATGAAAAATAAGCATCGAATGACAATTTAAGCAATGAACGGAATTTTTAAATTGTCAAACAACACTTGTATGATTTGTAGTAGTTTTCACAGCTCATTTATAAAAATTTTTCACGTATCTTAATTAGTAATGCGAAATTATTAATTCTTATTTTCAATCATCTCTAAAAATTTTTATTTTAAATGATAAAATCTTCAAATGTTCTCTTTCAAATGTAATATTTAAATTATGGAAAAGAAATTTGACAGCAAGCAATTGCCATTTTTATCAACTCATGTTTAAAATGTAATTAAAATTGTCAAGCGAACTTGAATTCATTTGTAGACGATGTTGTTGAAATTTTTATTGAAAAAAAAAGTGGTAAAATTGCAAAATAATTATATTGAGAAGGAATTTAAACTGCATGACAAGGATAAAAAGACAGGGCTATTCATGTGCAAATGTCATGTTTGCAGGCGGTGCTGTCGCAATAAAAATTTATGGATTTCCTATTTTCAGTCTTTATTTTAGGTATTTCTAACACGCTTTTAATTATCATCAAATTTTAAGTTATTGTTTTCGGAAATTGTTATGGTATGAGTGATAAATGTGCAACTGTTGTCATAAGTGAAATCTTGTTATGTGACAAAAAGCAAGGATGATAAAATGGTTTGTTTAATTGCGCTGAAACGGTCGATTTAGATGTCATCGTTAGATGGCATACGGATGCCATCTAACGATGACATCTAAACAGTGACGATAAGGTGAAGGAATTCGTTATTTACAGCAAAAGAAGTGCTCAATTTCACATATAATTGATCGTAATTAGCTGAATGATAGGTTGAATCATTAAGGAGATTGACAGCGATGTGTCAAACTTTCAAATCTTGTTTAAAATTTTCTGATCATTTTCGATCAATCATCTAAACTATATTCACTTAATTTCTTTTCAAAATATTATTTTCATTTCCAGTTGTTAAAGGAATGGAATAAATTCATAACTTTTTCTTATCATTCATGCTATCATTGATTAAATAAAATTAAAAATAAAATGGATGTATCTGAATTTTTTAAAACAAATTATTTCTCCGAAAATTAAATTCTGGACATGAAATTATATTGTATAAATAAATAATAATAAAAAAAAGGAACGATTTTGTTATATTTTACCTTATTTGATTCCGGAAAAAGTGTCCGGTTGTAATTTATTTATTTTAAACTATTCATTTCTTTTAAATGGCTCAGTTTTGAAAAAGAAATATAAAATTTTTTTCCTCCAATAAAATTTGAAAAAAAAAGTTGTACAAACTTAAAAGCATTAATTATTTTCTTCCTAAATCTCTTTTAACAAAGAAAAGAAAGATGATGAAATAACAAATAATTCAAAAAAAAAAAAAATTAAAAATTTTTCGCTACCGGAAAAATCATTTACTTTGTTTGGTTCACTTTTGGCAAAAATTTCTAAACAATACATTTAACATTTTGATAAAGCATTTCTACGATGTCAACTTTTCTTGCCAATTTTTGAACTTAAAATTTCAATTGTTAAATGATTATTCATGCATAACTTTATTTGTTGATTTATGAAATAACACGTGATTCATTCAAATTTAAAAAAAAAAACAGATGAGCAGATTGGTAATTGCCATTTTTTGAAATTGGAATGCATAAATTAAAATTATGGAACTTAACAGCCAAATGTTGAGAGTTGAGGGAAATTTCATAAGTGATATGATATTTGAAGTTTGCTATTTTGATAAAATATCGCATCTGAAGCCTTATGGTTAGTTAGAGCTAACAGGATCCAAAGTTAATATTTATCAAAAAAAAATTTTGTCAAAATTTTATCAAATTAATTATTTTTAATTTTTATAATTCAATTACTTCATCATTTTTTGTATTAAATTTATCTAAATAGCTATGAATAAAATTAAATTTTCAAATCAAAGATTAAATAGTCCTTACATATTTGAATTTGGAATATATTTTATTTTCTTTCAAAAATTTATATTTATTTCAAGAAATTTTTTTTCTTTAATTTTGTGCAATGGAAAAAAAACTACTAAAAGGAAAAGTGAATACAGTCAATATGTAAATGAGGAAATATAAAATGACATGAATTTAATCATTGAGAAAATAATTCGTTGCTGAATTTTTAATTCTTAAATAAAGGAAGCCTGAAATATTCATAGTTGCTATTGCTTATTTACAAGCTATAAAGTATTATATAGTTGAAATTTAATTAGCAAAAATTTTCTAATTTGACGATGTGGAAATTTCGAATGATTTTCTTAAATAACACGTATTCTTTAATTATTATTTGATTATTAATTGCAAAATTTTGAAATAATACATTTTCCAAAATGAAAAATAGCCATTTTTTGTTTTTTGTTTTGTTTTTTCTTTTTTTAAATGAATAAATTTATTTAAAAAGTCTTTCGTTATTCAATTTGATTTATATTTGTTTTGTAAAAATGAATGTTAAATGATTTTGTTGAATCTTATGCAAATGCAGCATTTTTTTTTCCCCCCTTTTAAATCATTGCGGAACTATTCGAATAATGCTATTAATTATATTTCATATCATTGTAATTCCTACGATTGATTAAACTAAGATTAAATTGAAATAGAATTGAGGAAGGTCATGAGTGTGAATGATCAAATGACATGAAATGATGCTATCAGTTCAATTCATTAATCGAAAAACAAAAGGAAAAAGGTTAAGATCAAAAATTTTTATTCATATCGATGATTTAAAATTAGGAAGTAATTAAATGCTAAAAGTAAGAAATAATCAAATAATTTCATTGTAATTTTTCGTAATATTTTTATTAAAACTTTAGAAGACAGAAAAAATTTATGCAAAAAAGGTTATATTTGAAAGAAATGAGATAAAAACAAGTTTAATTAACAGTTTTCAATAATAATACTTCAACATTTCATATAAATATTTCAATATGTTTGTTTTTTCCTTAACTTTTTGAAAAAGGACTTTTTTTTCTCTCAAAGAAATCGCAATTTTTTAGAAATTTTACAATTACTAACAAATATTTTCAACTTTTTATATATAAAAGAAAAGGAAAAAAAAACAAATTTCCCGCATTTTAAGAAAGAAAAGAAAAGAAAGGAAGAAAAACAGGTCCGGTTTTATTTAGTTTGAAATGAATAGCTAACATTTGAAAATAAAATCTCATGAAAATAAGCGGTGAGATACAAAATAGATCTATTAAATTTGTTCTTTTCATCAAATCATTCCATCGATTTTCATGATACTTTTTTTTTTTTCACATCATTTTTCTTTGCAATTTGTAAAAAAAATGCCATTTGTTATTTTGATTTTAAATGAAGTTTTACAATTATTTCAATGCACTTTACTCCTAATTAATTTTTGCTCAAGAAAATAACGAAAAAAAAAGAAAGATATAAGTTGCAAAATTTTGCTCAAACAAATTTTACTTATCCGTTTACTTAATTAAAAAATTATTACTTCTCAATAAAAAATGATAAAATTCATTTATAATGAATTTTCTGAAATATGCATTGAATAATTATTAATCAAATATTTCAGTTATTTATTATTTATAGAAACTATCGATTTTTATTTGAATCGTTTTGTAATCAAATCAAATTTTATTGACAGAATTAAGTAAACAAGGAATATTTTTTGTTTTTTTTTTGCAAAATGATTTTATGAATTTTGATTTGGAAAAATATTTTGAAAGAATAACATCCAATGTTTAACATGTAATCTGTTATTCGTATCGAAAATAAACAACAAAAAAAAGAAAATGTCTGTCTGACAGTTACTGGAAATGAAAAAAAAATTATTTTTTTTCCTGTTTTCGACGAATAAGAAGAGGAAATTCATTAAGAATAGAATGAGTCCAATATTTCTATCTTTAAAGAAAATATATAATTTAAATTTAAAATATTGAAACATTCAACAAAAAAAAAAAAAAGTTAAAAATTTTGACAGAACCACACTACTTGATAACATTTATATCGATTAATCAGTTAAATCATTTATGATCGTTTAAATGATTAGCTATCAGTTAGCAATTTTTATGCTATCAATTTCTTTTTGCAAATGTATAACAAGCAAAATTTATTAATTTTCATTTTTCTTTCAAAAAAAAAAAATATTTAGAATAATTTGTTACTAATAAGTCATTTTATATTAAATATCATTTGTAAAGTACATAAAATCTTTTCTTATATATTAATTCTCATTTTTTTACTAATATCGTTTTTTATTAATCATCTAAATTTTGTTAATTATCAATAGCAAAACGCATAAAAAGAAAAAATTACTTGGTAATAATAAATAAATTGATACTCATAGTTTACTGATATTATTCAAATTTTTACAAATTACGCTTATCTTTTTGTAAACCTGAAATTTCATTTGCTTAATTTAATTAATTGATCAATTATTGGATCAGCTGATATTTCCTCATTACAGATTATTTATCAGAATTATTGTCTATTAATAGTGATTTTAATAAGCTTAATTAAATTGATGCTATATGCCAGCAAAAATTTCCACTCATGTTTTTATGATCCAAAAAAAAAAATATTGCAACTAATTGGTAATACAATGCAAAATTTTTTCCATTATCATTATTAAATGTTATATGCATGAACCTTCCCTCTCGATTTACTTTAATTAATCAATTAATACTTTCCGGAATTTACCTTTAGCATAATTAATTAACTGAATTCAAAATGCGCAACACTTCGAATTTCCGTTTATTTCTTTCTCCACCTTTTTGCTCATTTCATTTTAAACTTTCGGCTTCTTTCAACCAAAATAAAATGATGCTATGATTGACAAAGAATTTTACTAATAAAACTTTAAAAAATGAAAAGTTCGATGAAAGTTTTTAGAGTGTCACACCCAACCACAATGACTTTTGATTTTCTCAATAATCGAAACATTATACTTCTGTCCTTTTACCTATCCTTATCTATCAATCAGTCTATCTACCTATCCATTCGTCATTCAATTCACATCGGTCAAAAACGCACGACCTGAGGACATTTGAAGTTCAATTCATTTCTCCATAACACATTCGCAGATTAATCATTTAAAGTAAAAGAGAAATAGACAAAAAAAAAAAGAAAAACTTTTAATTAAGCGACAAGGACAGGTGTGATGTTTCCACATTTTGATTAACTTCGGCAATCGAAGAAATGTATAAAGATTAATCATAATTAATGATATCATCCAATGATAAATTTATGATAAAATATATCATTTTGTCTTGCAGGAATTCTAGGAAAATAATGAATCCACTATATACAAAACTTATTTTTAAATCAATTTATTGATTGAATTAATTAATAATTGATTTTAATTGTAAAATAAAGATTATTTGTTTGCTTTTTTTTTTATAAATTTAAAATCTTTTTTAAAATTTTACTTTCGTCTAAGAATTGTTACCGTTCAAAATGACAATGTTAAAATTAAACAGTTATTTTTGAAGCATTTTAAAGATGACAAATGCTTTCCGTACATTTATTTCATTCCAAATGAAGAAATTAAAGGTAATAAGATTGACTCTTTTTTCCAATTAAACTCATAAATACCTGAATTAATGCAAAGGTAATTATTTACTTTCCCAAAAAATGTCACTTTTATTTCATCCTTTTAAATTAACTTATAAATAACCAATTAAATATTGAGCTGATTATTTCAAAAAAAAAAAAAAAATCCGTCGTGATAGAGCTTAGGCTCAGGCTGGGCTTATGCTTAAATTTATGCCTAAGGCCAAGCTTAGGTTGCTATCAAAAATAAATCTCTGAAATGTATGTCTTCCATTTTCATTTACACTATCCACCAAATTTTAATTAAAACTTACAAAAAGTATTTTCAAAAATGAATCGGAAATGTTGTTAAATAGCGTTTTAGTCTGTCCGATAATTTGACAATAACCTTCAAAATGTTACCCCCGTAAACTTGTAATTTTAACTAAAATTTGACCAATTCATTTTGAAAATTCTTATAAAGACAAGTAAGGACGATGTGAGGGAAGAGAGAGGGAGAGAGAGAAAGAGAGAGAGAGAGAGAGAGAAGAAAAAGGGAATGAATCATGGAAGAAATTGATTTAATTATCATCTTTCACTTTCTTTTAAATGAGAAAATTCATCCCAAAAGATGGTATTTTAGTAGAATTTAAATCAGCAAATTAAAATGATATATATTTAATCGATAAATTTACCCGATAATTTAACTTATAAGTTAGACTAACTGTACAAAAAGCATAGTTTTGTTCCGTTTTTTTTTTTTTTTAAAAAAAAATTAAATTCATAAATAATTGAAAAAATATATTCTATGAGGATAAAAAAAAAAAATCTTTCGAAA